GTAAATGTGAAGCAAACATTTGTTGCATGAGTGAGGGAAAGTGAGGCAAACACAACACCATTTATAAAGGTTCTGAGGCAACTGGTGGTTCTGTGAATGAAATATATCTATAAGCAAATCCAGGTCTGGCTGTATGACATTCAAAAGGATCCAGTGAGCCAGGGTCCTGTTGTGTAGCCAGTAAAAAGATTCATTTGGGAAACCAGCAAACCAAAGAAGATGGGAGTAAAGAATATCCTTGGGAGCTGTGCTGTGATAGAAGACTTAAAGGGAAGGAAGGAGGAGCCCGTGGTGAGACCTCTGGGCTCTACACAATGGACCTGGAATGGGACATTGTCTTAGTTACTCTTATCTTGACATCTTTAACCACACAAAGAGTGACAAAGATTAAGTAGATTTAGGTCAAATGAACCTCCTAGGATATCTCAGTCAAAACACTTCTAGATGCTTTTGTCAGCATGCAGCGATAAGTAGGAATCTGCCTTACTGGTTAAGGCAGCAAAGGAGGCAGACACCAAGGTTTGTCACCGGTGTAGTCACTGCACACCTGCAGATTCAAGAGTTAGGGCTTTGGTGAAAGTGCCTTCAGGTCCCCCATAGTCATCATGGGTGTTTTTTAGAAGTGTTTTTTACAGCAAAGCTAACTGGAGCCTGACCGTGTAGAGCTCAGCTTCATGGCCTCCCAGCACTAGTGACTGTTTCCTTTGGGAGGTTGGTTTTTGGTTCCTTCAGACAAATTTTGTAGCCCAGGCTGGTCTAGAACTCAATATGTAGCTTAGACTGGCCTCAGAGTATGGCAGTCCTCCTATCTCAGCCTCCTGACTTTTCAAATATCAGATAAAAGCTATCATGCCTTGCTAAATTTAGTGAATTTTAAAAAGTCTACTGAAAGACAAGTGAGGTTAGAATGTGTTTTTAGGCTTACCCTACACACCCATCTTCCTCTGTGCTTCTTGTCCTTTCCTGTTGTCACTTCTGACTACAGAACATGCCACTCTTGTTTAGAGTCTGACTTAGTTCAGAAAGCTGAAAAAGGCTGCCTTTTCTGAGCCTCCAGGAACTGTGACTGTATTACCAAATGCCTTGTTCCATCCATAAAATCCATAATGAAATCAATGCTGGGCTTAGGAGCAGTCCCCTAATTCAGTTCCCTGGGTTGAATTCTAAACTGATAGCATCATTCATCTCTCATGTAGCCCCTAGGAGAATCAGCAGTGTCACTGAGTTGGTTGTGCAGAATGTTTGCCCTGGAGTGAGGGCAGAGCTGGTGCAGGACAGGGAGGACAGGTGAAGGATGACAGTAGACAAGATGGCCACCAAACGGCCTGAGGTCTTCCCAGGGAAGCTCCTCACTGCTACAACCCAATGGTGTTAATCAGGGGATCTTTTTGTATCAGCATTGTCAACACTTATTTTCACTTTACACATTGAATTTGCATTTGAAAAGACCAAGTATAATCAACATTTAAAGGATAACACTCAAATTTGCATCTGATTGAGCAGACATGTTAAGTAATTTTAGCCTGGCTGTTGCTAGGAAACCAATTAATAATGCGCCACATTTCATTAAAAATTTGATTCTGTCTCAGCTTTCGTTTAGCTTCAGAATTCAGCTGCCGGTGCTCTACTTTTCTCTCTTGGTAAATTGTGACAGACAAATTATCGTTTTACTACACTTATTTCTGTGATTACAATTGTTAGTCATATCTGTCAATACAACTTCAAAGCTTTTCTTTTTTTACTGCTTTAGGAGGAAAGTTGAATTTTAACTGTTAATCAGTCTTTTCCTTTATAGTTTATGGATACTGAGTTATATTTTTGTGAAGGCCTTCCAAATTGTGAATAACAAAAATAAATAAATAAATAAATAAATAAATAAATAAATAAATAAATAAATGCAATCTTCCCTGTTCTATAATTGCCCCTTCTCTGGATAGTGGCTAATAATTAGAATATTAGGCCCTATTCAGAAAGTGACAGACAGCTGATCACACATTCAGCTGCATTTTATTTTGCTCTTTTTTTCCATGGTTTGTAGGCCTAGACCAGGTTCTGTCTTTTATGTAATACATTTTGATTTTTATGACTTTATTTTACATAATAGCCTGGGTTCTTCTGAAGAATAAATGTTCTTTAAGCTATTATTGTTCCTGTCTGAGCTTAGTCAACTGGGTAGTTGCATTTAGTAGTAACAGCACTTCACAGTTTGCTGTTTTGTTGTATTGACCTGTTAAAATGCTCACTAAGAGGTAAAATTGGTTGCTATTCACATGGGTTTCAGTGTGTTTCAAACACTTGATTTAGATTCTTCAGCTTAGTTAATGATCATCACACAAAGCCAAGCTCCAGAAGGCAAAATAGAATCTGCTTTTGTATTGCATGGTTCATGTCTTTGGAGTTTGGGTTCTGAAGATAAAGTGCAAAGGACGTAGAATTTAAAAGCAGCTGTGAAGTAAAATTTCAGCCTAGTCCCCTCTGTAGCATGTACCATGGAATACCGTGAAAAACTGAGGAGGCAGGGGGGCCATTCCTTTCTGTCAAGAGCACAATGTTTAAATGGGCTATGATTTCCCTGACATAAAAATCTCAGATTATGTGGTTTAAAAATCAGAAACATTGTTCCTGCAGGGTAAGTCCAAGAGTAAGGCTCTCTTGTGAGGCCTCTCTTCTAACTTGCAGGTTTCCTAACTTGCTGTGTCCTCACATGGTCTGGTCTCTGTGCATGCACAGTCCAGGACTCTCCCTGAGTCTTAATCTCTTGAAATTCAGATTGAATTTGGGCTTACCCTAAGGGCCTCATTGTAATCACCTCTTAAATGTCAGGGTTGCATTCTGGGCACAGGAATTCGATTTTTAACAATTTTAGGAAAACATGGTCAACCGATAGCAGGTGTGTTATATGTTGCCAGGTCCCATTCACTCTGCTCAGTTGTTGCTTAGTTATCAAACAATAGAGATGGCCAGAAAGGCAGCAGGAAGTTTGGTTGACTGACCATAAACAGTGTTATTACTCTTCCCCCTAATTTTGTTTGTTATTTTTTTTTTTTGGAACATTTTCTGAAGCCACTTTTTCCTCACCTTACTTTATTGGCCATATGGAGATGTACCTGTTCACACACCTCTGTAGGGGCTGATGGTATAAAGCATGAACCAGTTAACAGTGAGCTGATGCTTGAAATGAACCTGCGGTGAGGAGCTGGGACTTTGTGTCATCTGTCACACACGGAGGCGTAATGGACGACGAGCCTCTCCAGCCTATGTGTTCTTCCGTGCACATCTGGGAGGCCCCTTAAGTCCAACTCTGGCTCAACCACACCATAATTACAGGAACCATTTGCAGAAGAAGAGTCGTGAAAGCGCCCAGAACTGGGTCAACATTTCCTGTCAGACTGACCCAGGTCACTGTGGTGAGTTCTGTAACTAGGGTCAGATATCACATGTGCTGTTGCAGAGGATGTTCCAGATGTGGTGGGCTGAGTGGGCAGGTTAGGGAGAAGATGTCCTGTCCTAGGAGAAAGGGAGGAGAGACATGAGCCTAGTGGAACGCTCTCGTGACTCAGACATACTTTCATTTCTTTCACAAGGGACGGTGCAGATTTCAGATTTAAAATTGGAGCTTAGACTAGTTTCATTTCCCTCAGATTTTAATAATTCATTGATTAAGCCTAAATAGACACCCCTGTTTGCTAGCTGCTGCTAGGTCAAAAGTCTTTTATCTCAAAAGTTTTCATGAATGCAAAGAATATTCTTTGGTCTTGAAACCTTTTTGTTCCTTGTGAATATTGGCACCTGTAGGCCTCAAACTAACTTAAAGACAAATTTTGACAGCTTTTGCAGTCGTAGGACTCAGGCATCCTAAAAGACCAAGACACGAAGGGTGATTACATGTTGAAAGTACACATTTAATGAGACATATGCAATTCCTGACTGCACAGCACCTGCAGAGCGTTTAACCTGATACATGCGGGCTTATATATTTTGCTCACTTAAACAATTTTTTGCTCTGTGTTCTGCCAGATCCCACAGAGAAAGGTATAAGCATAAGACCTTAGATACTGGCCACGTGTACACAGCCACTGTTACATTTGACTTTTTTTTTCCAGCTTAAACAAAATATAAACTGGCCTTTCACATTCAGAAGACTGAGGAAACAAATGGGCATCAGTTGTCATTTCAGTGCCCATTAGAGATAGGATGAAAACTGGATGACACTTTCCTCCTTGCATGTAGATCACAGGAAAGAAGCATTGATGCAGACATGGAATTTGTGTGATACCTCCAGACACTACCAGTCAGTTCCAAGTTATAGTTGTAGTTGAGGAATTGCTGTTTTGGACTATAGATATTGTTAATTGTATTTCTATTTTATCACTACCTGGAAGCACCAGCTGTCCCACTTCAGGCCACCCACCCTGGCCAGAGGCTGCTAAGAGAAACCTTGAGAAACCTTCATATAGACAGGAAGTAAGAGGAACAGGGGGCCTGTTATCTGGAAATTTGTGGACTTAGGCTTTAATTTGATAGCACCGTTGAGCTCTCAAGAAACTGCAGGAAGCGGAAATAATTGAGAATGTCAAAATCTTGTTAAAAATACCATTATGTGTGCTTGTTGTGCAGCGTGCTTTCTATTCTAAAATTGGAACTCTGCAGGAAAGATTGGCAAGGACGATGCGCATTCATAACGTTCTGTATTTTACTTATCTGAAATCTCAAGAAGATCCTTTTATACTCTTCCGGCTGCAGTGAGCCATTTTCCAGTTCAGCTTCCTGTTTTCTCTGTTCTTCCTTTGTTACAATTCTGATACCACACCAATTATCACACAGAAACATAAAGTTAACTCTGTCATTGGTAAGAATTTTGTCAGGTTGTATGTTGGATTTCTTCTGCTTTAAACAAATTGTGAAAAATAATATAATGTTCTCAAAATTATAAACTTTGAATGGCAGTCTGTAATGTGTCTCTCCATGTCAAGCTTCCTCTTGAACAGCTTAGTGTTAAGGACCTTTGGTCCACTGGGCTAAGGGGATCTCTTTCCTCCTCAGCCAGGGCTTGAGGCCAAGATCAGCCCTTGAAGACCATGGGTCATCATCATAAGGAGTGGCATGAGTGGGCAACCCTGTTTTCCCACCCGAGACAATCACATGGGAGGGGAGGAGAAGAGGGAAGATTCAGTGACACGATGGTGGCAGGATGAGGGCAGTTTCACACACTGGCATCCCCAGAGTTAGCGGGAGAGCACCAGCTGTCTACCTCTGTCGCATCTGGACTCCAGCATTAGCCCCACCCAGTCACGAAAATCCAAGGTGCTGTTTACACAAACACAGTAGCATTCATAAAATCTTACTTTCAATTTTGACCTTTGTAGGAACTGATGTCACTATCCCCAGATAGTACGGATACATTTTATATATGGTATTGGGCCTAGTGAATATTTCTCTGGATATATTGGAGATTGATTTCATTTCTCACACTGTTCAAATAAACTCCAACTGAATAAATTCCTTTAATATGATGATTAATGTTTATTCAAAAGAATTCTGACAAAGAAAAACAGGAGAAACCAAAATGAGAATTTAAAAAATGTCAAATCTACCTCACTTATAAAAAGTAAAAATTGATTTTTTTTTATGTGTGACTGAATTGGTCTTTAGGATCAAACTTGGAGCCTCACACATTGTACCTTCAGTCCCAACAGTGGTATTTTTTTTAACAAAGATATTCAAGTATGAATGTATATTTGTACCTGCTTAAAATGAAAAAGAACTATGTGAAAATATAAGCAATGTCCTTAGAGTCTTGAACTATAAGAGATTCTTATATGTGACTTAAAATTCAAAACCATAAAATAAATGAATAATTTGATTCAATTCAAAAAATTTAAATATAGTAAAATAAAAAATCAAAACACATATGAAAATCTGTCTATAGAAAGCATGCCTCCCTCTGAGCCTGAGCACACTTCTCAGGGCAGTAGGAAAGAGGCCAGTGGCAGAAGCAGATTGTTCATACAAGAACTGCACTGCCATTTCTAAAGCTAAGAAGACACGTAACCTTCCCACGAAATCAGAAAAATGTTAATTGAAGCTTTGCAGGACAAACACTTTTTGTTTTATCTGAAAAATTCTAAAGAATGACAGTTATATAATTGATGTGGGGAAGATCTGCACTGAATTTCTCATGGGAACATAGATGGCATAGCCCTGGTGAATGCAGTTAGCAGTACCTATTGGGATTACATGCAGTTACCCTTCGACCCAGTCTGGCTCTGGCAGTTCTTCCTGTTGATATTTCTGAATGCTTATAAATGATACACACAGAAGGTTCTCCATTAGACCATTGTTTGTACTAGAAAATGTTGGAAGAGATTCAAGTATCCATTAGTGGATAGCTACTTAAATAAACCATGATCCGTCTATACAGTGGAACATGGTGCGGCAGTTTAAAGAGAGCATGGAAATGCTTTCTGCGCTGATCCGTGAAGATCTCCAAACAGGCTCATTCAGTGAAAAAAGCAAAGTATGAGCAATATGTAGGATGCTTCCTTTAATGTAGAAAGGAGGCAAGGTTTGACCTTATTCATTTCTCCTTATATCTACATGGAGAAACACTGGAGGACGTTGTCCATGCAGGTTACCACTTGAGTGGAGACTCAGGAGAGCCTTGAGCTCTATCATAATCTTTATATTTTTGAACTGTGTAAATTATTTCCTAGTCAAAACAAGTTTTTAAAGTCATACTTTTTAAAATTAATTTCATACATGTTTAAGATGTACTGTGATGATATTCATCCCCTAATCACCCTTTTTTATCCCTTCCCACTCCAATTTTTTTAAAAAGATTTCTTTATTTGTTATGCACATCCCAAAAGAGGGCACCAGATCTCATCATTATAGATGGTTGTGATGCCACCATGTGGTTACTGGGAATTGAACTCAGGACCTCTGGAAGAGCAGCCATTTCTCTTAACCTGTGAGCCATCTCTTCTACTGTTATGTCATTTTTGTTTGTGACTTGCTGAGTTCAATTAGAGCTGCGTGTATAATCACAGGTATGGAGTTGTTTGCTAGAGCATGGTCAGTTTACCAGAGGCTACACCACTAAAGAAAATGACCCCTTTCCTCCAGCAGTCCTCAGGAAGGGATGGGCAGCACAAGCCCTTCTGCCACTCATGGCGCTAGCCTAATCTTGTGTAACAACAGCCGCTGTGGGTCATGAGTACAGTGGCCGTGTCACGTCCAAAGACAGCATTTCATGTGCATTTCTCCATCTTCTGCCTCCTGCGTTCTTCCCACTGCTCTGCGGGCCCGAGGGTCAATGTAGACAGACTGCTTAGGGCTAAGCCCAGAGCAGTCACTCATTCTTAGTGTTATGACCAATTATGAATCTCTTCATTAATTGTTGTTTTTCATTGTAAACGGAAGCTTCTCTGCCCAAGACTGAGAGCAACACTAATCTATAAGTATAAATAGATATTTAGAATATATCCATTTAGCAAAACAAAATTAGTAGACATCCCCCGCCAAGGGCCTGTGACCTCCCCAGACTTTTGGACAGAACTAGGTATTATACTCCATGGAAGAGTGTTCTACCCCAAACAGTCATGCAACTATTGTACCATAGTCATATCTTGCCTTGCAGGTTGGTATTGTAGCACACAGGGTCTACAGTTAAGTAAAACCATGGATGACTTTTCTCTGTCTACAGCCTACTTAGGCGCTGTGAACATCAGCCAATATGGGGAGGCTCCAAGGCAGTTCCAGCTTGCTTTCTCTTTGTTCTTCAGCCACCATCTTGTTCTGGTGGGCAACCAGGAGCAGTGCCAGTAGCCTGTATTATTTGGGATCCTCTGGGACTAGCTCAGAGGGAGGTAATCTGTACCTGGCACTTGGATCTTTGGAACGTTGTTTAAAAACCTATAGCTTTGGGCTACAGAGAGGGCTTAGCATTAAGGGAATGTACTTACAGAGGACCAGAGTTTGGTTCCCAGCAGCTCCACAAGCATCTGACACCTCTGGTCCCCATAGTCACCTGCACTCATGTCCACATACCCACACAGAGACACATAATTAAATAGTAAAATAAATCTTAAAAACAAAATACTATGTTTTCTGGGTTGCATTACCCACTTATGCAGAACACCCCCTTTCAAACTTTCCCCCTACAGCTGTATGTTTTTAGTGAGTAAGGCACAATTCTTAGCTTGAGTTAATGCTCTCCCCACACCTTTCCTGCCCTCATCTACCCCACCCCATCTCCGTTTAATCCTTTCATTACCAGGCAAACCCCTCCCAACACGTTTGTGTCACATGAAGTTACATATTTTCAACTGTATGTCCGCGGCACACTACCGTAGAATTCATCTGTTTGAGCCATGGACTGCAGCTGCCTGACTGGGGGATGTGTGTTCTTTCCCTAGCCGTGCAGTGGAGGATGGTGACATTGGGAAATTTGGTATCTGAAATGTAGCTTGTCTAAACTGAGATGTACTTTGAGGGTGCCTGTTTCAGAAAACTTAGTAAAATAGAGCTCATAAACTACTTCAGTCATGATTTTAAAGTTATTAGTTACATGTTAAATGATTATAATTTGGATTGGGGGATTTAAAATATATTATTGTATTAATTTAGTTTCTTCTTTCCTACTTTACATGTGGCTACTAGAACATTTAAAATTACATGTGTGGCCTGACTCTGGCTTTCACTTTATTTTGTTTGCATAGTTCTGATGTAGTCTCCTGCCCATTCTTAGTGTATCTGCCAGAATTACTATAGAAACAAAAGTACAACCCAATCATAATCATGTCATTCCTGGTTTTAAATGGTGCTTTGACTCCCTTCTTTCTTGGAGACCATTATAACAGTCCAAGACATCTTCCTTTCCCATCCCCAGCTGCCCTAGACAAGGGCTGCTGTTCTTTACTCCCTGGACTTCATAAATAGGAGTTTGTTGGCTTTTAAAACCCCTTGTGCTTACTGTTTGCAATGTCTCTTCACCTCAGCTCCATTGCCTCCTTCTTATCCTGAAAGCCCAGGTCTGGTGAAGCATTCCTTGTTCCCTTTTTCTCTTCTCATTTCCTCCTCCTTTTCTCCTTGTGGCATTGCACAGTGAATTTAGAGCCTTCATTATTCTTGGCAAGCACTCCATCACTGAGCTACACCATAGCCCCTTGCCCCATTTTCTAGCCTCTCCTTTGTCCATGTTTATACTTAGCCATTTGATACTAGATACCTTCTGAGGTCCCATAGCAGATCCGGGTTCCTCAAAGCCAGTATAAGTGCTGACCACTGTGCATCCAGATTCTGACACTCCCAGCAGAATCTCTAAAATCATTGGGAAAACTGAAATTTGTCATGTTTTGTTCTGTTTGCCTGGGGTACTTCTATGTGGTCTGTTTACTGAGAAAAGCAAGCTTAAACTTATAGATCTTCCTTGGTTAAGGACAAACTTTTTGGAACATCCTGGCTTTACACAGGCAGCTTCCCCACCACCACGACCAACAAAAAAATGACAGGCACACTGTGGAAACTGCAGGAGCCTGGACGGTGTAGGGGGCTCTGGTTCCCAGGCCTAGTTTAGATTGGATAAGTGGGAGGTATTTATGTTCAATCCAGACAGCAGATTTGTCCAAGATGGCAGGATGCCCATGCTTTCAGAAGGTAAAGGTGTCAGGTGGTGGCTCGGAGGTGGAAGGTAGCCAGATCTAGGAGGGCCACAAGCTGGAGTCATGAAGTTCCCTGTGGGCTTTCCCCTGGCTCTCACTTCAGTGACCCTCTCTGTGGAGTTACTCCTGATACTAATCTTCTTGTCAGCCTTCTCCTCTGCTCCTGAGGTTTTAAAGTTTTGCTCAAAAGAGAAAAGTGGAGTAGGAAACAGAACAACCGAGACCCATGGAGCAACAATTTTTAGAAAGAAAAATGAAATTTTGGAAGAATTTTCAACCTAGCTGCACTGGAAAGGCTCATCTTTCACTTAGATTCCCACGGGCTGTTGTGTTGAGACAGGGTTACTTCTGATAGAAGACACTAGTTATTCTCAGCAGTTGGAGCTGCTCGTGTAGCTCTTAGGCTGAAAAGATATTATCAGCTGGTAACTCTTTCCCTAGTGTTCCTGTGAGTGCTAGTAGTGCATGGAAAATGCTG